GTTGTGGAACCAGCTGCCTGATGGCTCTTTCAACTTCGTCCCACAAATGCTCAATTGGATTGAGATCTGGTGATTGTGGGGGCCACCTAAGCAAGGTAAAGTCTCCCTCATGTTCTTGAAACCACTCCTGCACAATACGAGCACCGTGGCATGGCGCATTGTCTTGTTGGAAGAAGCCATCTCCATTGGGATATGCCATCAACATGATAGGATGAACTTGATCAGCAACGATACTTTGGTATGTTGTGCTATTCAGGCGTTGTTCCACACGAATTAAAGGGCCCAAATCATGCAAGGAAAACATGCCCCAAACCATAACACTGCCCCCACCAGCTTGAAGGGTTGTACTCATGCATGTGGGGTGCATGCTTTCATGCTGTTGCCGCCAAATTCTCACTCTGCCATCTGCATGATTCAACTGGAAACGAGATTCATCGGACCACATTACTTTTTTCCAATGCTCAGCTGTCCAATCCTCAACTGCGAATTGGGGACGTTTTATCTTGTTAACTGCTGACAACAAAGGTGTTCCAACAGGCCATCGGCTTCCATATCCCATACAATTCAGTATACGGCGAACAGTGCGTTCAGAGATCATATGAGAGGATCACTGATTAAGATCTGCAGTAATTTGATGCACTGTTGCCCTTCTGTTGTCTTGTACCAGTCTTGCCACTCTCCATTCTGCCCTAACATTGACTAGTCGCTGACGGCCAAAATTCGCACGCTCAGACCCAGATTTTCAGCTGACAGTCCAGTCCTTAAACACTTTAACAACAGCTGCTCTTGAACATTTAATGAATTCTGCTGTTTTGCTGATACTCGCTCCATGGCTCCGAGCGCCAACAATCATCCCACATTCAAAGGCTGTTAAATCGTGTTGTTTACCCATATCTTCAGAAAACAAATCACTTCTACTGTCGTGGTAAACAACCTGCTTCCCTATTTATAATGGCCTGGCCCTCTAGCAACTTCAGCGCAAAATTATAGCTAATTTGCCTACAAATGTCAGGTGGCCATAATAATTTGGCCACTCAGTGTATAACCTCCCTTTAAACAAATGTGCAGACAGAAGATATTTTAAATTATCTGGTTGGTTTCCATTTGCTTGAATAGTTTCAGCTGCTTCTAGATTCTGAACAACAAACTTTTCCACTATGTGTTGTGGTTCAATGACCGGTACTAATGATCTTTGTCATATAGAAATGCTCCTTAGCAATGAGCACAGACATAATCCAAGGTTATCATAACAGAAACTGTGTAATACAAAGCTGCCTAAGAACAGGAGCTGTTCACGTGTCATTATTGCCATCACAAAACAGACATACAGCATGTATATATATATATATATATACACTGATCAGCCATAACATTATGACCACCCACCTAATATTGACTAGGTTCCCCTTTTTCGGCCAAAACAGCCCTGATCCATTGAGACATGAACGCCACTATACCCCTGAAGGGATGCTCTGGTATCTGCCACCAAGCCGTCAGTAGCAGATCCCTTAAGTCCTGTAAGTTGCAAGGTGAGGCCTCCTTGGATCGGAATTGTTTTTCCAGCACATCCCACAGATGCCTGATTGGATTGAGATCTGGAGAATTTGGAGGCCAAGTCAACACCTCAAACTCGCCATTGTGTTCCTCAAACCGTTCCTGAACCATTTTTGCAGTGTGGCATGGTGCATTGTCCTGCTGAAAGAGGCCACTGCCATCAAGTTTCAAGGATAGTACGGGCAACACTTACCCCATACACCAATTCATTACATGTGGGCACGATCACGTGGTATATGGCCTTAGATGCCCCTGTAACCTCCTATACATAGGACGCACGATACGACCACTCCGTAAACGCATAGGTGAACATAGAAGGTTTATCGAGAAGGGTGATACTGATCACAGTGTCCCGAGACACTTCCTCCTCAAACACAATAAAAACATTACAAAACTTCAGGTTTTTATCATTGAGCAGATCCCCAATCACTTATCCCCACCTGAAAGATTCCACCAACTCTGCAGACAGGAGACTTACTGGATTTATAAATTGAACACTTTATCCCCTTATGGTCTTAACGAAGAATTAGAAATTAACACAGTCATTTGAAAAATATCTCTTTATTCTAGTAACTGTACACCCCAAAAAATTGCTTTCTTTCATTTGAAGAATCTGATCCACGTCTATTTAACCAAGCACTTCATGTTTACCTCCAGTGCACACACCAGGGCTGTGGGTCCGCCTATATACCCGCCCCCCGCCTCCCCATAGGCTGTTTTCTCCGCGTGGATTCACGCCCATTGGTGTTCGTCCTTTAAAAAGTTTGGCCCGCCATTTCTTTCCCCACCCTGGCTTGAAAAAGAAGTGATTTACTTCGAAACGCGTAGCCTCGTTTGTGACACACCCAGCCTCCACCCGACTTATGCCCGTGTGTTCCGCCAGCCTGCAACAACTACTAGGCACCTGGATCACGACCGCAGCACCGCGTTATTACAGCCTCTTGTGTCCCTCTCTCCCTCCCCCTCCTCCGCCTCGATCGATACTTATACAGCTCCCACCTGACCCGTGCCCGGGAGTTCCGCCAGCACCTAGAATCGAGTGCCCCACTTCAGCCTGCCACCACCGCCAGACACCTTGATCACTGCCGCAGCATCGCGGATTTACGAGATTTTTTTTTTTTTTTTACATTTATGGTACTTTTTAAATTATATAGTAAAGAAAAATACTCCAAAAGAAAGCTCTCGATCGATACTTATACAGCTCCCACCTGACCCGTGCCCGGGAGTTCCGCCAGCACCTAGAATCGAGTGTCCCACTTCAGCCTGCCACCACCGTCAGACACCTGGATCACTCCCGCAGCATCGCGGATTTACGAGCCGCCCGTGTCCCTTTCTCCGCCGTCACACACACATATGTGACACCACCGGCCCCCTACGCCGCACACCACTAGGTCTGCTATCTCCGTCCCCCACCTCTTTCACAAACACGGTGTGACATCACTGACATCCACCATATCGCAGAGACCGTCTGCCCCATTAACGCCACAGCCCGCCCCTCCCCCTGTCGGCAATCTCCTGGTCACAGTGTGACACCACCAGGGAAGACCATCGGACTTATCCCCCTAGGACATAACCGCCAACTTACCCCCCCTCTTTGACCAGCAAGTGAAGAATACACCGCCTCCACCTCCTCGTCACCCTCGATCAACAGTACAACAGGCAATTAAAGAAGAACACACCGCCTCGGCTTCCTCGCTATCTTCAATCAACAGGACAACAGACGACAGACATCCCACCAAACAACACAAGGCAAGTAAAGAACACACCCCCACCACCTCGGCTTCCTCGCTATCTTCAATCAACAGGACAACAGACGACCGACATCCCACCAAACAACGCAAGGCAAGTACAAGAACACACCGCCACCGCCTCGGATTCCTCGTCATCATCAATCAACAGGACAATAGACAACAGACATCCCACCAAACAACACAAGGCAAGTAAAGAACACACCACCACCACCTCGGCTTCCTCGCTATCTTCAATCAACAGGACGACAGACATCCCACCAAACAACGCAAAGCAAGTAAAGAAGAATACACCGCCACCGCCTCGGCTTCCTCGTCATCTTCAATCAACAGGACAACAGACGACAGACATCCCACCAAACAACGCAAGGCAAGTAAAGAACACACCGCCACCGCCTCGGCCTCCTCGCTATCTCCAATCAACAGGACCACAGACGACAGACATCCCACCAAACAATGGGCCACAGTAAAGATCATTTGGAACACCGAAACCACCCACCTCCACTCCTCGCCGATGATATCGCAACATTCCTTACCTAAGAGTAAGTTACTACATTTGTTTTGAGTTATTTTTCACACAATTTTACTCATCTCCATATCACACATTTATGTTTTCTGGGTCATTCTGGAGAAATTGGATCCACCACTGAAGGTCGGGAATCACAACTTGCCCTTATTTTCCCAGCCCTCACTTCCCATAAATATCGCCCTGCTCTCCCACTTGGTTTGCAGCGCTTCTCCCTCCCGGTTTCTGTTTGCCATCATGGAATACCGTATTCATGATGGGGTGCACTTGGGCAGCAACAATGTTTAGGTAGGTGGTACGTGAATGGCAGGACACAAGGTTTCCCAGCTGAACGTTTCTCAAAGCATCACACTGCCTCCGCCTCACTTCACTTGTCAGTGGTCATAATGTTATGATTGATCAGTGTACAAATAAATAATTTTTTCATTTATTGACCTCTAATCACAAAGATGCATAAAAGAGTTCGGTCACAGAAATGGTCAAAGAAAATGTCCCAGCAATCTTTTCAATAAGGGAATGTCAGATGCTGTCCAAGGAAGATTGAAAATGTGCTAAAATCTGCCCTTAGCAGACTGCTCACAGTGCAGATGCAATGTGTGGCCTTGTTGGATCCATCTGTTTATTTCAACTAACCTTTGTCAAAGGAGCCAGTCTGAAAAATCTTGCCTGAACAGTGACTGAAGCCAATCATCCAAATACCCCACTAGGCTCAATTCACTAAGATGGATAATATATTTTAACTCTATTATTTTATCTTTTGTAAATGTTCTCCTAAAAACTTACAATTCTCAAACACAAATTGCTTGAAGCCCAACTCCTGCCAAAACGTATGCTGATCCCATGGCTTCCGTAATTTCTGAATTACTGATGTGAAAAAAGTAAGCTGATCAGGAGTTTTGCTTTCACTTTCACCTTCCTGATCTGCGTGCTTGTCCTAGGTCAGTAATGCCAGACAGCCATTCAACCAGCATTTTTAGGAGGTCAGCTATGCAGCAAAAGATTCTCAAACATATAAGAATTCCAGTCCACCCTTCTGGTTAGTCTATGGTGCAAATCTGGGCAATGTGCAAGACTTGACTTATACTGTTTCCCCATCCTGCGTAATCACATTTTGTAGGAAATAAATAACTGTATTTATGGATGATAACCCCACACAGCATACAGACACTCACTTGTATGACTCCACCTAGAAAGGTCACAGCTGCCGCAACTCCTATTCTTTGCATTTCAAAATCAGACATAGCCACATCTCCCAATGAGCCATTAGTGGCAGTGCCATTGTTCGAAAGAACAAGTCTCTCAACCGCTGAAGCAGAGATCAGGGATGTGATAGCAAAAGTACCTGAAACAGAAAGGAAGAACTTAGCTTGGCGCAACTTTGTAGTGTACTTCTGCTGAAACTCAATATATATGTAAGAACATACACAGGGCTGAAGAACACTCTGTTCTAATCACTTGAGCATAGCCAGACCAATGAGTTATATTGCTATATAATACATTCTAAAAACTGTATGTGCTTAACACAAGAAATAATTGGAACAAAAAGATTGTCACTGCCACTGTGTCTTTTACTAGAGAGTTTATTCTGCATGTAAAGGGGAGTAAATATGTAATGGTAGGTAAAAACCTAGCCGTTGCAAACCTCATATAAAGGCCAACATTAGGCTCCCCGTGGTACACGGACGGTACTGTCTCCAATGAATCCCAATGCTGTTACGTGCACCAGTCCTCTAAAAAACCTTTACAGAAACTTGGCAGAAACACATAAAAAAAGGGTTGCATATGTTTTTCAGCCCAAAAGGGCCTCAGTCAAAACTGCCTGCTTGTGAAGCAATGCTGCCTAAAATATTTAACCCCAATCTATGTGGGAGAGGTGGGAAATTAACAAACTGAGCATTCTAAAAACATTACATTGTTAAATATCAAACAAGACATTTAAAGAACAAGGATAATATGAAGATCCTTTGAAGAAAAATGCTCTAGGCAGTGGGTTTTTGGTGAAATTATAGTAACTACAGCCCTGGCTATAGGTTGCTTGCACTAACCTAACCTACTGAATAAACACATTCTATAAAGGGACTTTGTCAACAACATTCCCCTCCGGCGCATGTGCCAAGTCCCGTTCGGAGAACTCTTACACGCATGCGCATGACGTGGACTTTCCATAGGAAAATGCGCCAAATGGCGCCCGGAAGTGATGTGCATAATGCGGACCTCCCATAGGTGACACGCTTAATCGTTCCACTTCCCTATTTAAACCCGGCCTCTACATCCAAGGATTGCTGGATTGTCTTCAGCCCCTCTCCGTGCTTCAGTATCCTGTGATTACCTGTCCCTGTGAACTGCCTGTCTCCTGGATTTTTGATCCGATACCTTGCCTCGACTACTCTTGCTCGCCTGCCACTGACCTTGGACTGATTACTGGACTTGTCTCTGCCTGATCCCTCTGTACCATCTAAGCTCTCCTGGTTTGACCTCGGCTTGTTTTGACCCTGATTTCCGGATTACCCCAGCTCAGCCACAGAAGCAACCTTCTGCTTGCACGGTTTCAACACCACTGGCACCCGTGCCACTCGCTGTCCGCCAGCTGCAAGGGAAGCCTCCTCACACGGTCAGTCTCCCCATCAGGTAGGTGATAGACTTCTCCTCAAACCTCCCATTTAATCTTGTTTCTGTTGGACAGCTTAGAATCTCTAGCAGTGAAGGAATGGGCATCCCTGTTCATTCATATTCCTGGGCACATTCTGCATTTGTAACTTTGAGGTCTCACCTGTGGAAACATGTCTGCCCATACCAAATATGGCATAGATCAATGGCGGGAATACAGACCCGTATAATCCAAACATTGGGTGAACCGATGACATCACAGCAAATGCCAAACCTATGATGCCAAAACAAAGATTAGTAAGTGTGTCAAAATGTGTGTTTCAATGTATTATATTCATCTGATTGAAAAAAAATGCAGTCTCAATTTGACAATCTAAAGAGATCATTATTAACGTGTATGTATTAAAAATCTATATTTCTTTGGTTAGGGCAGGGAACGGTTACAACCCGTCACTTTACATTTTTTGCTGTCTGTGTACCGTTGTGCCATGGAGACTCAGCACAAAGTAAAAGAAAATACTCCTAAAGCAAGTATTTCCCCTCTTAATAATCAATAAAATGGGTGTCCCCTTTGGAAGATGAAAGCTTACCATACACCAGGCCCATGCCCGTAGGCAATTGCAAAATCAACTTTTGCAGCACAGAGTGGTCTCAACAGGGTCACCTACAGCTTGAATTTCGAGCAGTGTATGGCCAGCTTTAGCCTCAGCTCTTGTTCTGGTGATAGCCATGAACGTTTGAACTGCCCGCTACTTTCTGACTTAATGAAAACGGTCACCAGGACCAATAGAGGGTTCAATCTACCTAGCAGAGACACAGGTAGCAAATAAAAAAAGTAAATAGAAAACGATTGTGCGGAGCTAGCAGTGACAGCTAGCTCCGCCCAATAGTTTCCTATTGTCCGGCGGCTCTGCTGCTGTAAAAAAAAAAAAAGGAAAAAAAACTATCCCGGGCGCTCTGGGAGCCTCACGCTCCCGGCCGCCAAGGAGAGAAACAGTGCTGTGCCTTTTTTTCTTTATTCTGACACGCGATGTCAGAATAGAAAAAAAAAAGAATTTTCCCATTGAAAAGCAATTGGACATTATTATTGGCTATTGCAAATTGAAATAGCCAATAATAATGTCCAATTGCTTTTCAATGGGAAAATTCTTTTTTTTTTTCTATTCTGACATCGCGTGTCAGAATAAAGAAAAAAAGGCACAGCACTGTTTCTCTCCTTGGCGGCCGGGAGCAGGAGACTCCCCGGGCGCCAGGGAAAGTTTGCTGTTTGGAGATCAGTGTCCCTGGTTAGCAGGTAACCAGGGACGCTGATCTCTCTGAAAGTGGCCGGAGCCAGCCGTAAGATCACGGCTGGCTCCGCCCAGCTGTCAGAAGCAGGCCGCTCGGCCAGCTTCGACTTTCAGCACAGCTCAGTCGAGCCGATGCATATGCATTCGGCTCGGCCATGATCGGTAGCTGTACGGGCTATTGTGAATAGCCCGTACAGCACCCCTTCGGTTCTACTGAACCGAAGGGGTCATGGGGCCGAAGCTAGCCGAAGGATCGGCCGAAGCTACGGCCAGATCCTTCGGCAGCTTTGTGAATAGACCCCTTAGTCTCATAGTATCCTAACTAGTGCTAAAATAAAATTCTGGCTCTGTCTTCTTTAAAAGATGCAAACTTTCTACTTGTATCTCTTGGTAAATAAGTCAACTTCAAATGAGATTTTTCTTTTTTTTTATAAATACTTTTAATTTTTTTAACTGCCCAGCATTTTATAAATGCGGTAGACAGCAAAGGATTTCATTTAATGTATTAATGTAGTAAATACATCAAAAAGTAAAATATTAATTAGTAAAAATATTTTTATCATACGCATAATCCCTGTATTATAAGATTCTGGTTATTTGCAGAAATATCCCTATTCAGAAATCTATCAACTGACATCATACACTACAGTGCCTTAGTAACTGTCAAAGAAACGCATGTTCAGTAACAGCTGACGGTAAATTATAATGATTCGGAGTCAATTTTATTTTATGTTTTTATTTGCTTTTAAACTGATGTTTTTTAATGTATTTTCCTTTTTCTATAACATTTCTGCTTTACAAATAAACATTTAATACAAGTAACAGCTGTGACCAAGGATACCCAGAGCACTATAGATTTTCTGAAGCAAAAGCACAGCAGGAGTTACCTAATTTTAGATATTTAGAAGTAGCTACTAAGAAGGAGGGTGGAGAGGGTCACTTTTCTGACTCATTAACTTTCATGTGTAAATTTAGGCTTGAGCTACTGAACTCTGTAAACAACAAACATCTTTTAGCAAAGCTGCTAAGGGCTGACAGGAAAACTAAACTTTAAGCTCCACCAGCGTAATGTGAAAATATAAAATGTTTATCTGCAATACTTTGCATACTTTAAAAAGGAAAAGGTTCATTCAAAACACCTGACTCAAAATGAAACTTTTTACAGCCATATGTAGGGAATGTATCAGAGATCAAAGACAAATAGTTAAAAAATGAAAACAACTGTACTGGTAAAAACCAGAGCGTGCTTATCGTCGAAATCTTCCTCGAAGGCAAAGTTATGCACTGCTAGTCATTTCCTGCTGCTTATCATGCCATATTAGAAAGCACAGCTATGGTGCAGTATAAAAGGTTAGGCCAGCTGTGTGGACAGCAGATGTTCAATATCACTAATAGAAAATAAAGCTGGATAGTCACAGTACCGTGTGCCACCTGGTGAACTGTCAGCATCGTTCCGGAGATACAGTCAGGAATCAGGTTTTGTCGCAGGTTGTACTTGGGAGCCCACTCCAAAATAGGTATTCTTCTGAGACACCATGCTTTCATCTGTGAGCAGCCTATGCTGGATATTTGTTCCAAACGCTTAGTAAAATACCTTTTCCTGCACGACTCTGGCATTATTTTTTCTCACTACAAACTTTTCAGAAAGAAATATGTGAGAAGTTTAGTTTCACATTACACTGTAAATCTGCTTCAGAATTTGAGTACCTGAGAACATGGATCACTGCAGTCTAATGTGACCACACTCGAGTGCCCTTGGATCGGCTTCCTTCCTACTTAAAGAATCAGTCCAAAAAAGGAGGAGCATGGTGTGGAATACACTATAACAGAGCACAGGGATCGTAGAGTTTCTCTATGCCTGGAGCTGCAACTGTGTTAACACTGTTTATGCGTACTTTGAAAGCAGCTAAAGGATTCAAGCCCAGAAAAACAAGAAAGGTGGCAGGCATTAAATCACAAGACCCTTTGTAAAAAAAATGACCTTACCATTATCAGGGTGATACATTGTTAGACCTGCAGGAAAACCCAACATCACCCCCTTCATGGCTGATCTCTGGTCCTTTTCACTGCTTCTATCTCTGGCTGGTGCTCACCACATAAAGTTTCAGATTTGACCTGCCAGATCAACAAAATTTACCCACCGCTTGCAATATCCCTAATATGTACCCGATTTAATAAAATGTATATATTGTTAGGGTATGCACTTACTGTACATCACCCTTTCTCAACCTTTCTACCCCTGAGGAACCCTTGAAATAGTTTTAGGTCTCAGAGACCACCTGCTAGAAACTATACAGTGGGAAAACGCTCCCTATATTGGTGGCAGTGGAAAGAATGTCCCCTTACAGTGGTGGTCAGAAAGCCTCCCTTAGGCTGAGTTCACACTATTTTCCAGGCCAGATGTGGACCATTGCATTTTTGCCGCATTTTTACAGCGATGTTTTGCTTAAAATAGTCTTACAAGCGCGGCCCGCCTGACGGGAGAGAATCGCTACTCATCAGCTCCAGGCTGAGGGTGTGCGGGGTTGGGGGAGATGAAGTGTGCTGCTCTCTCTCTCTAGTCTATCTCAGTATTTTTTTCTTCTGTCCTTTCCTTTGGCTAATGTTTTCGTTTTAGTCTACTCTTTGCAGCAGTACTGCTGCATGTTCTCTGTTCGTTGAGTGGTCGGTGAATGGATGTTCTCACCGGCTACTACACGGTTGTGTCTGTTAAAAATATGAAAAACTCACAAGGTATTGCTGGGGCCCCACAATATATGTTTGAGATTATTGTTGCACTATATCTACTTGATTGCCAATGGTGTGTACTTTCTGTGAATGTAACTGCGGAGGACTCCGCCTATCCTGTACTTGGCTGTATCTGTGGTGTGTGCCTTGCTTGCCTTTATAAATAAAGAATTTGAAAAAAAAAAATAGTCTTACAGGTGCGCTCCATGCATTTTTGATGCGTTTTGATGCGTTCCAGTGCATTCCAGACCGGACAAAATAGGACAAGCAGTATTTTTCTGGTCTGGTCTGGAACAGACTGCGGTGGTGGGAACAGAGGCCAGAAATACCATAGGGATACATTGGGATGCATTTTGAGTCCGGAAACAGTCCGGTCTGGTCTGGAGGTAATATGGATGCGGTGTGAATAGGCCCTTACAGAGAGCTCAAAAGATAATCGATTTAATGCTACAGGCTTTGCTAAGTGGCGTTGGCCCTGGAACCATGCAGGAACCATCAGATGAAAGGTCAGCCAGCCACAGTTTGAGGGACCTCTGGCAACCTCTGGAAGAACCCTATTGCTCTACAGAACCCTGGCTAAGAATGGTTGCTCTACACAGTTGTTAATAAATCAAACGGAGATTTTACAGTCTAATTAGTGTGGCCAGGTTGGGGCTGGATTCACACTTGGGCGTTCGTAATATGCGAGCATTGACGCGCCACGCGTTTACGAAGGCTATCCGTCTGTATCCTAATGGATACGCGTGGAAATACGCCCCAAAGAAGCTCCTGTTCTTCTTTGGGCGCATACGCCCAGATGGGAACCATGCCCATAGGAAATAATGGGATTTCACTTGCTGGGCGTTTTACAGTGCCTCGATCAGTGCTGTAAAACGCACAGGTGTGAACCAGGCCTAAAACAAAATCTGTGTGGCACCAGCTTAGGAATCTGCATTGTGTTTATACAATTTAACCCCTCAAGTGTAGCGCTGTATCCTGGCATGCTGTCCTTTTAACTTTCCACATTGTGTTTATTAGGAATATCTGTAACCGCTGTCACAATAGGGTGTAGGGAGTCTGACTTTGCCTCCACACAGATATTTGGAAACATGCTCTTTCCAAGTAATTAGTTACAGGTGACAAAAGTTGTATAAATGATGAGAATTGCTTCATTTGGAATTGTATACTATTTTTGGTAAGGAATTTAAAGATTTCAGTCTTAAATTTGTCATGCACATTGACCTGAAGGAACATCCACTTATCCTAGAGATGAACCGATGTCTGCAGAGGAGCGCAGGTAGAAGCAGTGCGTGAAGTGCAGTAAGCATGGCAGAATATGTTTAAGGTTATTGCTCTTAGGTTCTCAAAGGCACTTTATCAGCTCTATGTGATAAGAGCTCTCTGAGATAATATGTCAGAAGTGCTCTAAGATATCTCAGAATTCTAGGATATTTATATCAGAATTCTGACAACATTTCTCCAAATTCGAAAATATTATGTCAGAGAGCTCCCAGATATTACCTCTATATGACATATTATCTCTTGATTTTACACAATATCTCAGACCGGACATTTTGTCAGAGAGCTATGAAATATTATAAAAATACTGAGATATTATATTAGAATTCTGGCATTTTAACTCACACTTATTAGAGCTTTTTCACATAAGTCACTACGCTAAGGGCCCAGTCACACCATATCCAGTGCGTTCTGGCGTGGTCTGAGCCTGGAATGCACTGGATTGTATAGATCCAGCCGGGCCGCATTCTGGGGCAGGAGGCGGCGTGGCGGTGCCATTCATGTCTTTGGTACCAGAGGCACGCCCCCTATCCGCACTGGAACGCAAGGTAAAGGATGCCCTCTATTCCGGTGCAGTGCGATCGTAAATAATGTTGTATGCACTTTTTTTTCAGATCGTACTGGATCGAAACGCAGGCATTGATGTGCCACGCGTTCTGGTGTGGATGATCGCACTGCGGGCGAGGGGCGTAGCTGCGGTGCCATTGACTTCAATGCACCGCCACGCCCACTCCCGCACCAGAAGGCAGGGGGAGTTTGATATGCTATGCAGTGCGTTTCAGCAGCTAATGGATACATACACAAACATAATAAGGCCAATTTACACAGGAGCCTATTAGCCTACTAGCAGGTCTTTGGAAGGCAGGAGGAAACCAAATTACCCAGAGGAAACCCACACAAACACAGGGAGAACATGCAAGCTCTATGCAGATAGTGTTCTGACCAAGATGGAAAGTAAGGACTCAGGTATTGCAAGGCAGAAGTGCCAATCACTTTTTACATGTAACAGTATAATACATGATACAGCCTTAAAAATTCTGTAACACTGATTCAATAGAATTAATGAGTACATGCAGTACATGCGGGCACCAAATCCTCAGACCCCACTGACCACTGCTTGCACTAAAAGTCTTTCCTCCTGCTTATACACATTGGCTAGTCTGTGAAGTGCATACCAGCCCCTGTTTTCTCTCCAACGCATACTCTGGTGCCTATTTTCCTCACTTAGCACGCACATTGGACACTACCTTAGAAAGTAATAGGCATATTTAGGACTTGTGCCCTATGAATTCCTATTGCGGGGCTCAGAACATGTGCAAAGCTAACAGCAGGGAAGCAGAGAAAGAGTGCAAGTGTGTGTTATGTATCACCTTACTTTATTTTTTAATGTTTAAAAAAAGCGCCTTAGCTTCCACCCTTAGGCCCCGTTCACACCATCATGTTCCGTCAATGCGTGCAAACAACAGCACTTATGGAAATGCGCGGAATGCGCTTGCAGTGTCATTACTAATTAATGGCACACCAAAAGCGGCTAAGCAAATGCAGTGTTTTCCTGCACGTTTGCCAACATGGGAGAAAACATGGAACGCATGTCTCAAAATTTGTGACATGTTCCATTTTCCTGCATTTGGCGCATATCCAGGGACCCAATAGGCGTTAGTGCTCCAAACGTGGAAAGCAAACACCACAACGCACGTTCCTGCAACACCAAGGTGTGTTGGGGACTAAAGGCAAAGGCCTTGTGTGAGTGTGGTCATGCAGAAGCCAACTGGATTACCACTCTCAGGAAGAAAATGAATAGGAAGAGTTAGAAGACATATCTTGATCCCTATTGTCTCCTTTACCCCCACATATAAGTACTGCCTGCATTGTCATTCTGCCCTGCACTTCTTCTCTCTTATATCCCCTCTCCATAGACATAAACAGGAACCGTTGGTGGAGCTGAAGGTTCCTGTTTATGGAATGCTCTGCCCTCACAGGTAGTGGAGAGCAGTCTGGTCCCATGTCTATGGAGACCTTTAGCTTCACTCTTTTGCTTCTCCTGGAACATAATCTGGAACTTGAAGAATTATTTGGATTATATTTAAGTTGCTATTCAGATATATAAAGAGAACTTGCAGAAGTTGATTGTGTTCTATGAATAGAAAATATCAGAGAGTGAGACCTTTCTACAGGAAATACTTTCTGTCTCTAAATCAATCAATGTGGCCGATCCCAAACATGCATAAAAACAAACAAAATTTTAAAAAATGTTTATTTTTACATATTAACAACAAATAATGATGTTTAAAGCAAAACAGTGACTGTCTTCCTGTATGCATACTATTGCTGCTATTCTTTTTATTGGTCCATAAAATGACCCCACAGACAAATCCCCCAAAACAGCATTGTGTTACTGGACTGCTACTCCATACATATCACTTTGTCTTTGATTGAAGCATCTGTATGAACATATCAAAATCTTCACTGGCAGGAGCTGTATATTGCTTGAGGTTTTCATTTTCTGTCACAACAAAATAAGACATGAAAGTTCATGTTTGAGAAATAAAAGTGCATTAAAGCAGAACTATGAGGTGAGAGCTTTTCACCCACCTCATAGTTCTAGCCGACCTGTGACAATGAGACTGTCACAGGTCGGCTCAGTAGATCGGGAGGTGAGCGAACACATACCGGGTTCGCTCACCTCTCGATCCTGTCACGGCTCTCTGCCGTGACAGGGGGAGGGGCTGGTACAGGCGCTGACTGGCGGAACGGACGGGGGAGGGGGCGGGTACACCTGGCTCTGCCTCTAGATAGGCAGAGCCAGCTGTCACTCACGCAGCTGGACGGATCCAGATATAATTGTCGTGATCCGCTCCGGCTGCGGCGTCTCAGTATACCGCGAGCTGTAGCTCGCTATACTGACCCTAGGGTAACGGGAGGACGCTAGTTTGTGTCCTCCCGTTACCCTAAGGAGAACTATGGGGAAAAGCCCTGACCCCATAGTTCTCCTTTAATATTCACAAATAGCCTTTTTATAGTGAACAGTTTAAATTGAATCCACTGTGTTTATATAGTGCTTTGGAGAATACAAAGAACCATTCACATTAGTCTCTGCCCCCCAGGAGACTAATATTTTGCCCAGAAGCTAGTTGACCTGGTATCAGTTGAAACAAGTTGACTGTTTTTTGTTGATAACATTTATAATGGACTGTTTCATGCTGATTCCCTCCAGTAGTAACATAACTTGAATACATTATAATAGGGCCTGTATAGTACCTTTTTTATGTCCACAAAAAAAAGTACTATATCACATCTCTGCCCTGATGAAGGGACCCTGCGCGGTCCCGAAATGTTGGGATTATGCTATATGTGTGACGTTTGGTCCAAATAAATGGGCATTATTTTTTGAACTTCATTTGCTGAGTGCTGGTGATTTCTATCCTCCATTGACTGCATTGACATACTGTGAGCACCACGATTGTTACTTGGACCGGGAACGCTGCAGGGAGTGCAGGGGGACTTACTGTTTTCTGTTTTGTATTGATAACATTTATAATGGACTGTTTCATGCTTATTCCCTCCAGCATTAACATAGCTTGAATACATTATAATAGGGCCTGTATAGTACTCACCTTTTTTATGCCCACAAACTTCACACATTCAAGCCACATGTCTAGAAACCACTTCCCACACAGGTCACAGATATTTCTGCTGGAAAGTATTTTCTTTGTTTCAGGATAATGCTGGATTTGCTCTCGTATCATTGAGTCTCTGTCCTGTACATGACTTAAAATGAATCTTGCTGTCATTTCCTGTGCAGAAAATAAAAACATAAATGTTCCTCAGTACTCATAACTTACTAACCTCAAGTTAACCGGTTCTGGCCTACAAAGTGCTTAGGATAACAACAGTGCTGAAGTCCTCCAATTAAACTGATCCCTGTATCCCTGTGGAGTTTCAGACTGTACACCTGGACTTAAAATCTATTTCTACTTTTGCAGTCAAATTTGAGGAAATCCCTCTATTTTTTTCTGAGCACCTTTACAGTCACCTGTCCTTATAGAAAGACTAAGGGCAGGAATATGTAGAGTATGTTTCTTTCATTAACACACAATGCAGAAGCCAGGGATGTAATCCTTTAACCCTATGTTAGGATAGGCAGTGTTCAAATCTGCTTTACAAAGTATAATGAAATGAGCCAGCACAGTACAGATAGGGTTAACACAAACCACTCACAACCCCTCCTAGCATTAAAAGAACGAATGATGCAAGTCAAAAAGGTGCCAATCGTAAAAAAAAAAAAAAAAAAAAAAAACGAATGAAAAGAAAGACAAGTTC